TTGTTTGAACAAATTAAAACCATTCTCCTCATCCACCATTTGCTAAAGATTACTTCTGAATTTTTTTTGGCTGCGTTAAAGACGCTAAATTGAAATGTGGCGTGGTAGGAACTGAAGCAGAACAAGCCTATAGCTAACTGTCGAAGTGCATGGCTCGTGATGATAGAAACTCAGAAAAAATGTAAGGTTTCTTTCAGTACCTCAGTAGAGCCATATATACCATTGCACTCTTTTAAGTAATACCTATATCAAAGTCAGATGCTCATTTATCACTGTAGTATTTTGTCAGCCTCAGAGGCGCGTTCCATGACTTTTCTGAAGATTATATAACGCACAATTTACCGACTGAAATATAATCTTGACTTGGTTATTCCTATCGTCCACGTATTTTTGTCTTTGACGAAGCAGGTTAGGGGGTGTTCAGAGGTAATTGTGTTAGAAAAAAAGTTTTCTTTATGCTGATGATTTCGAATACGCTTGAAATAAATCATCGAAAAAGGCACTGAGAAGGATGGAACTCGTTTGATCCTTTTCCCTTGAGATGTAGAATTTTGACAAACTGCACTGTTTCTTGGGGTGCCTTTTTTATAGGAATACACAACAAAAATCTCAGTCAACAAAGGTCTATCAGTCCGTACATTGAGATATGCCTCAGCTGGAATGCCAACATAGTTATATCTTTGATAGTGTGCTATTAAAGTTGAGGAGAAAACAATTAATCTTTATCCCGAGCCAAATTTTCATTAAATTGTAAATTTCTGTCCAGGATTTAAAAAAATTAACAGTTACGTTTTACAACAGTTCCCTATCGGTTTCGGATGCGTTTTTTTCTTAGGGATTTGGTATTGAAATGTCAAGGATGACTAGTCTACAACTTCCGGCCCCGATTCCGAGAAAAGCTCCAACCGTGCGTGACATCATACGATTCTTTATTCATTTAATATACGTTTCTCTGTAAAAATACGGGGGGTCTATTCGATACTGGTCGAAATACAAGTATTGCTCATCATAAATTGTAAAGAACTTCATCTAAGGGCAAAGGAAAGTGTANTAATCCTAATAAGCAAGGGTTTCTTAAAACTTTTGACGATAAAAATGAACGGTAAAACACGACGTTTCGACCGTGCTTCGGTCATTGTCAAGTGAATGGAATGAAATACAGTAAATATATGTACATATACACGTACGAAATATAAAAAATTTTTTGCAGGTGTAAACAAACAATAAAACTACAAAGAAAGTGCTAGTAAAAAGCTAATTAAAAACCTTAGCACGAATTGAATCAGACTGTACATTGAGAGCAGGTCTTAGCTTGTGAATAAAAAACATCTCATAGACGAGACAGTCAAATTTGTTCGTGCACTTCATTAAGGTGCTAAAGTTCTTTGTAAGATCCTTTGGAGTCAAAGAATGTTTGTCGCGAAAATGTTTGCCAATTGACGAAGAGGAGTTTTTATGTTCTTCAATACGTTGGTGTAGATGACGGCGTGTGAAACCAACATAACCTGCATCGCACAGGTCACATTGAAATTTGTAAACAAGGCACTGTTGGTTCACAATCGGCGGCTTAGCTTCTCGCAATTTGAGGTCTCGACCAATCTTCTGGCTAACAAATACAGGTTGTAAGGTCGTCTGGATCCTATGACTTAGATCTTTAAGTTGGGCACGAACAATATCAGTGGATGCCTGATCCTTATACGGTAGGACAACGCGAATGGGGTCCGATCGATCGCTGACAGCAGGTAAGGAAACTGGTTGATCAGATACTTTGGCGGCAACAAACCGTGAAATGGTAGAATTGACTAGATTATCAGGATATTTCAAACGAGAAAATACTGATTTAAGTCGATCGCATTCTTCAGAGAAATAACGCCAATTAGATGAAAGTCGAAATGCACGATCAAGCATAGTTTTTAATAACCCACGTTTGTAACGATCATCTACATGGCTCTTGTAATGTAGTAAAAGCCCCGTATTTGTAGGTTTGACGTACACCTTGGTCTCAACATGTGTACGTTTGTTGAGCAGCCGGGTGCCAAAAAAAGGGAACATGCTGTTACTCTCCGTCACCATGGTAAACTTAATAGAGGAATGGCACTGGTTTAAAATGTCGAGGAAATTGTCTGCTGATGCTTTGTTCGGCATAATGGTCAATGTATCATCAACAAATCTCTTGTAGTACGTAGGCATTTTGCCTTCACGTTCCAGGGTTTCTTCGATGCTGCACATAAAAGCGTTGACTAACAGAGGACCAAGGGGGGGAGCCCAGAGCAACTCCGTCGATCTGTTCATATGGCTGGCCGTTAAACGTGAAAAGTTGGTCCTTAGTTGCCGCGCTAAGAAGATCGACAAGATACAGCTTATTGAGATTAAGATGGTATGTTTCAATAAACCAATTATTAATGAAAGCCTTATCGGCAAGTAGTTGTATAGTCTCCTCCAAGGATACGTTGGTAAATAATGAAGAAACATCATAGGAAACCAGAATATCTCCACTGTTAATAACCATTTCGTGGATCTCGTTCACGAACTCAAAGGTGTCGCTTATCATATACTGATTTGTGGCGAGAGGTTTTAGTTTGTCATCTAGCCATTTGGCGAGGGCAAAATTGTAGGTCTGTGTGGCTGACAGAATAGGTCGCATAGCTAACTCTCTCTTGTGTGTTTTGGGCAAACCATAAAGATGGGCCAGCCTGGTACCTAATGGACGGATCCAGACGACCTTACAACCTGTATTTGTTAGCCAGAAGATTGGTCGAGACCTCAAATTGCGANCACGGACAAATTCGCATATTCCATTTTGAAATATGATCCACATGCCCATTTGCACACATGCGAAACTATTTAGCGATTTTTATCTTTCATCTTGATTTTTGAGTTAAAACGTAATAGGCACCTATCGCTTTTTTCGTCGGAAATAAGTTCTTTAATTTGTCTTCTTTCACTAGAGCTTGTTTTTTGGAAAAGATGATTTTAAAAATTTACTGCGGATTGTGTTTGCTTTCTTGGTTTCTCCAAAATTTTGACTTTTCACAGGCACGTGTTATGCGTAAGTGTAAATGGGTTTAATTTTTTTCTGAATGAATTTTTGGCTAAAAATTTTTAATATAGGTAAAGAAGTTTTATTGCAAAATTTTCACTTGTTGGGAGCCCCGCTTTTAGGCTTGGCTAAATCTTTATATTATACTCTTGCTTGGAGTTTCATGGTGTCCATCTAAAGGCTGTTTCCCCATTTACGCCTGCGCTTTTAAAACCGGTAAGTCTAAAGTCTATAGTCGACGGGCGCAGCCTTTATAGATGTGTACCTCTACAAATAATTGCAGGTTCTTTCACATGCGCGCCACAAACACTGCGTCCCTATATTGTAAACAGCAGCGTCGATTTCGCAGACCGATAATGATTTATAAGCGCTAGACCTTCAAAGTATCAAGTGTATGCAGGCTCCAAAGCTTAGTCTACGTTGACCAACTAGCTAAGCTATGAACATTTACCATACCAACTTAAAGCAGATCGCGCACTCTCATATCTTTGTCCCTAATGCAAAAGAACTTTTATTTCGGATATTTCTAAAACTCTTTCACTTTTACCCTAGTGATATTATGGTACATCGCCTGTTCTAGAAAACGTAGTTTTCGTATGAACGGTGTGTGTTAGCCCTGTTTGGGTGTAAACAAGGTGTCCTATTAAGAATCACAAGAAACCTTACGAAATTGACACAGATGCTGCGCATCGGAATTAAAGAGGAATTAAGGTTACCATGTATACCAAACCATATGTTAAAAAGTCTTTTAGCTCAATTGGCATCCTACACGAATGTTACCATCAGCCTTTAAGAAAATGACAAATCTCAAATCCCTTGGCTACTATCTTTATTTTCGCATCAAAGCGATCCTTTTTGTGTGCTGAGATCGAACCATAAGCTGCCGACATGCCCTAGGAAATGCAAATGATCGAGATTAAAAATTAAAAAGCAGAAAAAAAAAAAAAAGAAAAAAAGAAAACCAGCGTGCGCAACAAGTCAATATATCTAATGACTTTTTTAATCCTGTTGTCAAAAAAGCGCTTTACGGGACTTCTGCTCGAAGTAATTTCGTATACGATTTCTGCAAAAGAGGCAGCTCTTTGGCCGCATATGCGACTAACTGACACAATTAATTTGAACATATCAAGAAAGAGGAAAAGGTAAATTGGCCACCGTTACGATTATAAAAGCTGACGTTTCGTCCTTTCATTCACAGCACTGAGAAAATATCGGGACCCAAACGATCCATTAAGACCACCGATCACTTCACGTGCACCTCCGCCAATGTAATCTACTGCATAACTTGCACTTATTGCAAAAAGATTTACATCGGCGAAACAGGCAGAAGACTAGGTGACCGATTCCGAGAACACCTTCGCGACGTGGAGGGGAATGATAAGGACACATCGAAACCAGTCGCTAGACATTTTAATTTACCTAATCATTCTAAGCAACATATGGCAATCTGCGGTCTTTCCTTGCACTTAGGTAGCACGGAAAGCCGTAAAACTCTTGAACAAAAGCTCATCTTTCAAACCGGCAGTCTAAATCCCACAGGCATTAACGAACGCTTTTCATTCCATTAATTTATTCGTGTTTTTCTCGTTGCCATGTTCCCACCAATAACGTAGCTCCATTTTCTGCCTTTAAAAGCACACACAACCCACAATTCCTCTATTCGCTCCGACGAAGGGCTAACGCTCGAAACGTCAGCTTTTATAATCGTAACGGTGGCCAATTTACCTTTTCATCTTTGTTGATATATTCAAATTATTTCTTTACCCCCACCGACGGAGCCCCAAACAGTTTCTTTAGAAACTATCAGCCCTTAACTGACACAATAGATCGTTCATTTGCCTGTATGGTCGTGATTGTCAGCATATTTGCTTTTAGCAGTTTCTATTGGTCTACTTAAAATACTACGTCATCTCAGCGGATACGGGAGCACAAAAACTTTTCATTTGGCCAAGTGGGGTGGTAGTCTTTAGCGTTTGACATTGGCTATGAGAAGAACTAACTAGAACTTGCGAGGATGGGCTCAGGAAAGACCATTTCCCCTTCCATTTTATGCGTCGTAACAAGCAGTGAGTCTCCAATATTTACTAATAACTGGTCAGTTTGCTCATGACTTGACTAAATGAACTGCTCGCCTATAAGCGGAATCTTCAACTAACATTATGCAGTTATCAAAACCTTTATTCGTCGAGACAAACTTTAGCATGCTAGCCAGGTTTGATCCATTAAGAGAACTTTGTTGGTTTATCGTGCGATCAAAGTCGGTGATATTTGTCATCGGACGAAAGAAAAATAAAGTCATTGTAGATTATACTTGCTCATTTATAGTTCAGCAGAAAGTCGGAAGATGATTGTCAACGTTAAGTGGCACTGTGAGAACAAAATGTCAAACAATATGGATATAGCATTCTTTCGACTATTTTTCTGTTCCATAGAATAAACTGTCGTCGAAATCATTGTCACATGTACAAAACAGGCACAGGATAAACTGGCTTAAATGAGCTGATATTGATTTTTGTAAGATTAATGTCCTTGCAGTACTGTTTTGAAAAACTTTACACTTACACTTATATGAAGCTTAGTCAGCTGAAAACTAACCTTATGACGTCAATCTCTATTGATAATGATAAATTGTAATTCAAAATGCTCGTAAATTAATGCTTAGTCAACTTTCCCCATTTAAAACTTGGCTGGAGGCGGTAACGGGTAGTTGGACCCTACAATAAATTTTTGAGACTGCTTCATTGGTCTCCCCTTCGAATTCATGATATACATTATTTGATTGGTTTTTTTTAAGCTAAAAAATTCTGTAAATCATTCGAAGTCTCAATGAATACAATAAGTGCATTAACGACTAGCAAGGTGTCTTTCTTGAAAAAGGACAAAATAACAATTATACGTGATGATGTTATGATTCAGGAAGTTAATTAACTCCTGTAAGAACCACGCGATTCAAGTAACTCATACATGAAATTAATTGATTACTCTCTCCTCGCACGCAATGAAAATCATTGATGTTGCTTTCCTTTTGAAATAGAAGAAAGGAAAGAGCATATTTAGATTTTTTCAAAACCTCTAGAATTTTATTCGCAAAGTCCACATTAGATGATTATTTATCAAACAACTTATTTTTGGCGGCTGAATCATAGCACGCGTAGACATGTTGCTCTGTAGGCGTTGCGACAATCAGCTCTCTGGTTGTCTTCTGCATATCTGAAAAAGCAGTGCGCCACCTTCTCGACCTTTTGTGAGGCACATGGCGTACCTTTGCTGATAAAAGATATTTCTAGCCGTTTTCGAACTGCAACTTTCAAAATGATATTTTCCATGTTAATTTTGTGGAAATGTTTACAGAACCAAGAAGAGTATTTGAAGCTTAATTCCGTAATCCGAGTTTTTGCTTGGGAGAAGGTTAGATTAAAATGCGATCTCCTTGCCATTGCAAAATCCAATCCCCTCGCACCGTAAATGTAACAATGATCTGATGCGATAATGAACCAACAATCTGAGTAATCACACTCTAATAAAAATCAATATTGAAGATGATGTGATACCGTCACGCATCTTTCCTCAGCGTATTATTGTTATGTATTAATGTCAGTTGTGGATATGACGCAAATTACTGAACGTTCATCAAGGTAACTGATTGGTTTGAATTTTTGTTCTTTGTAGTTTTGATATCTTTTGCCCTGCTGACTGGCGCTGAGCACAGTAAGTAGACAGATCTCGTGAAACAACTGCCTTTGTGCACCCCGGAAACTAACCCCAGTTTTAGCTGATTACTTTGCCAACGCAAAAGCACTTGAAAAAGCAAAAACTGAACAAACTGATATGCTCGAAAATAATTCATGAAGTGAGCAGGAATAACCTTTTATTGCCTCTTGTCTATCCAAACTAGATTGTTCTCAAACTTTCCGAGAGGCTTTTGGAGAAATACAATATTCGCCAAACAACTACCATCATCTCCAATGTCATCTAAAAATCACGAGTGGTATGCCTAACGCCATAGCCGTATTATCTGTGCAAGAAATAAATCTCAGATACTGCAGGTACACAGAATAGGTTTCTTTATTTATTTTTCAGGAGTAGCTGATACGTTGTTTAACATGAATCTTTTCATTTTGGAATCAGTACTCTATCTTGGTGGTTTTTATTCAATATAACTAATTGTGTTATCATTACAACTTTATTGGATTATTTGGCACTTCAATTTTCTTTCAACCTTTCCCTCTTATTTTTGCAATTTTTACCGTTTCACACACACTGTATTCTCATTCACCAACCATTTGTTTGTCAATTAAATTGCTAACAAATAGCCAACTTATAAAACAATCTGGTCTTGTCCTCTATTTAATAATAAACCAGATCAATAATAAGCTTAAATTTACAAACCCTAGACGCACCATTTCAGATGAAAGTTGGATGAAATGTTCGTTTTTTTCCCTCAACATATTCGCTAATCTTTTGAATGATTCCTTTCCAATGTTTTAGCGATTACGTTAAGATTACCGATGGAAACGGCACTGATGTTTTATATCATAATGGCTGCAATGAACAATTTGCCCCAGAAATCCTCTTTGATGTGCATTTTGGTTTGTCCAATAACATATCAATTCAAGTGTACACAGGCAGTTCAAGCAGTAGTATCAAAGTAGAGTACGTCAGTTTAATGCAGAGCCCAACCTCAGGTAAGTTTATTTCAGCAGCCACATATTTTTTTCTTTCTTATCTATTTTTCAAGTTACAAAGTTATTTTTCCTACAACTACCACTACTACAACTGCTAGTCTAATACTACTACTATTTCTACTACTGCTACTAATATTATGTTACTCCTACTACCACTACAATATTACTTCTACAAAACCGACGACTACTACTTTTACTACTGTCACTGTCGTTGATTGGGTAACAAGAACGAAAAGACCACATCAATGAGAACAGATGACTCTGCCAGAGGCGAACAATAATAGAGGAAAACACTAAAATGTCGATGCAGCAGAATGATAATGGTTGATATTGATAAACCTTTCTTTCGTAGCCGTTACTGTCTCGGGATGGAATATATCTGTATCAAACCCTGACTCCTCTGGTGCTACACTTCAATGGACTAGCCTCGATGCAAACGTAAATCATCAAGCAAATTTTTACATCATTGAGGTTAAAAGCATGGATGGCGTTCCACTAGACGTCCATACTGTTCCAGCAAATACCACAACGTCAGTCATAAAGCGACTCAAACCTTCTACAAAGTATCGTGTGGTCGTTTATGGAGTTGATAACAATGGGCAGCCATATATGAGTTCACAAAGCATTCTTACTACTTCGAAAGGTATGGGATATTTGGGTAAACTTCAAACTTTAAGTCTGAGACAGGTACACAGCAGGCATTGCCATACCTGAGCGCCTTAATCAATTATTTCTTAAGTCCTCACTGCCGCTTAAAACAGTCTACAGAATGTCGCAACGACCATGATAAACTATCATGTTTTCCTTAATTCTATCCCTAGTGCTATGCGGAGCTCGACCCAGTTCGACGCGCATCGTCGGTGGCACAGTTGCGAATAGAAACAGCTGGCCTTGGCAGGTTATGCTGAGAGAGCAAGAAAGACAATTCTGTGGCGGATCATTAGTGGATCCATACTGGGTACTCACAGCAGCTCACTGCGTTCAAAGGAAATCGGCACCTAACCTCAAAATAAGGTAATTAACAAATAGAGAAGCCTTGACTGTGGTCTGTTTAATTTTAAAGCACGTAGGAAGCGGCTAGAGCAAGAAAGAAGTGTAAGGGGAAACACAAAATGTAATCGAGTGCTTCTCCCAACTCCTTGAGTGCTCTTTCCGCTTCCTAAGTGCTTTGCAATAGAACAGAGCACAGTCGAGGCGTCGTTATTTGTTTTATGATAAAGATTTCGTCAAATTACCCACGCTTTACTTTCGATTTTTAAAACAAACTATATTTCCAGAGCGAACAACATTGCCCTCAGCATGCTCTATTCTTTCATAGAGCAAACGAAAAAAAGCCAATCAGAATCTTCGTTAGATTCAAGCTACATGTATCTGATTGGTTGAATTAAACTAAAGCTGTCAAAATTGTCAAACTATTAAAGTTCACAAACTGCAAAAGTTCGCAAACTGAAATAGTTCGGCGTGTCGAATTTAACACTTTTTTCTAAAGGACTTAGTCTTAATACGGAATCTGAACGTGAAATGTTAAATGAAATCCAGCCGAATTGTACCCTCATAAAAACGCGCAAGTTTTTTTCACGAAATAATAGAAAACTGCTGAAGGCATGTATTTTATGAATGAACCACAGCCGAATTTACAGGTACAAGAAGATTAGTGAGGATGGCAGCGCCGTAACACTTGGCTGCTATGACTGATGTGGCCTTCAACTCAACGCATCGGAAAGGATATCAGAGGAAGCTCTTAGTTTAGTTTACTCGAAAGACGGTCAATGCAATATCTAAGCCTTGCTTCACTGCGATGACCGGAAATCGCCATGATGAGCTGACCGCAATAGACCTCAGCATGATCGCAGTCGCTCTGACATCGTCATGATTTGTATTAATTTCAACAGTAATGCCAGTTTAGATATATTTGTGAGTTTCATCATATCTGTTTTGTTCTGTTTGGTTTTTATACAAGGAACTATATACACCATACGAGCGTTAGCTATGTTTCATTTTTTATGCCCTACGTAAGACTACATTCTAACTGAGCGTTATAAACTTTATCATAGCAAATGACGTAAAAAACCATTCCCATACACCCAATTATCCGTAATCCAGTGAAGAGAACAGGGGTATGCCTCTCAAAAATCATGTTTGCTCTTACACAGACCTCAACTACTCACTAACCAAACCTAAGCCTTATGAAATAGAAAAATATCATAATTAATAAATTATCATAAATAATTTAGCTTAGGATAAACTCAAACCGTGATCAATGAGCTAGACTAATTTTCCGTTTCTTACGTGCAGGGTGGGAGCCCATTACAGGACCAGTGGAAGCGTTGTGACTGAACAAGACATCACCGTCTCCAAAATCATAGTCCACGAGAATTACCAAATTCCGAAAACGTATAGTAACGACATTGCTCTACTGTATCTCGAAAAACCTGTAGTACTTGGAGTAGGCGTCGGACTAGTCTGCTTGCCAGATATTAAAAATATTCTCCCCGTTGACTTAAATGAAACTTGCTGGATAACAGGTTGGGGAGATTTGTACTCAGGAGGATACCAACCGAATACCCTAATGCAAGCGTCTGTGCCGCTGGTGTCCAAACAACGTTGTTCACATGTTTATCCTGGATAAATCGACGACTCAATGCTATGTGCCGGCCTAGATCAAGGTGGGATTGACACCTGCCAGGGCGATAGCGGTGGACCGCTGGTGTGCGAGTTCAATGGCACCTGGTATCTTGAGGGTATCACCAGCTGGGGATACGGATGCGCTCAAGCTTATAAGTATGGCGTCTACGCCAAAGTGCGGGCCTTGGATTCTTGGGTACAGGCCAATATGTATAAGGTGGTTCCACCAAACACAATACAGCCACATAATCAGTCATCGGTTTCTTTAAGTGAGTATGGCCTGTTTCTGCTGTAGAACATTCATTTTACAAGGAGAATACACAATTTATAAATTTTCAAAATCCATAGACTTTAAATAAAAAAGGAGAGCTCTACGGGAACTGTGAAGGTGATAATAATCCTTACAACCTTTATCTACGGGGCTACTTTTATTATCTATGATTATCTTAAAGGCTTTTTATTACTTCTACACACCAGACCCGCCTCGACGGAAAGAGGCAATTGAAGAAAAAATGTTGCATACTTAACTTGAACAATTTTTACCATTTTCTCCAACTGTACTAGTTTCCTGCAGCTTTGACAATGGTTTGTGTTCTGGATGGAGGCAGTTATCATTCGATGATTTTGATTGGACGCTTGGATCAGGTTCAACGCCTTCCTCTTCAACAGGTCCCAGCTTTGGTCAGGGAGGATCAGGTTAGACATAATCTTAAAATTAAATAAATTTTTTTTTAGCGTTGACGATATTTCTTTTTAGATTGCATAATTTCGTTGAAGTTGATTTTTGACGTCCGATCTTGTTTTAAAAGAAGAATAATGCTCAAATATGCAGGTAATAAATTAATGCATTAGCATTAATTAACTACCTGAATAATTGTATTCCACCTCGCTCGTGTGCTCGTTTGTGACTTAACAAAACACTTGCTTGGCCTTTGCTTTCGCGATCGATCACTTTCATCTCAGTACATCTATGTCTTCCGCTTCTGTTGCTTGACAAAAGGTTGTTGCATTACTCTTTATTTTTGGTATTCAAGGATGTCTTACATGTTTCTATGACTGCTTCAGGAAAGTATATGTACATCGAGGCGTCCTCGCCAAGAAAACCTGGAGAAAAGGCACAAATCGTGGTCACAGTCCCAAACAAAGGGAAGAAAGCGTGTCTTTCATTCTACTATCATATGTATGGAGCTTTCGCAGGAAGTCTTAATGTCTACAATGGTAATGACACAGTATTTAACGTGTCAGGAAATCAGGGAAACAGATGGATGATCGTGGAAAAAAGCTTACACCTTGAGAGCGAGGCAAGTGATGTCTGGTTTCTTAACAATGAGTTAACGCAAAATATTCTAAATGCCAGCTGCTTAAGGACTCGAAAACTTAACAGCATAAAAAATATATCGTATAAGCTACGGGATCTAGTTCTCCAATCAAGGAAAAAATTACTTGGAGAGAAATAAAATGACATTAAATGAAGAAGAATTTCAATTTTGAGGAGTTAATGGTCATGTAACAAAAATTTTAATTTAGCTTCTCAAGACTTTCGTTGCTAAAAACTGCAGATACCTTTCAAAAATATTAACCAGTTAGTAAATACCTCAGGGATTTCATTTGAAAGATAACGTAATAAGTAACAATGAAAAGTACTAACTATTTCTGATCATAAATATGAATGCTGACTGTTGAATATTTGGTACGCCTTCCTTACAGATTACATTTGAAGGAATACGGGGGGGTTCTTATACGGGTGATATCGCCATTGATCAATTACTGATAACCGAAGGAAACTGTCCAGGTAAATGGTATAATCATTTAGGTTGAGTTTTTTTTTTGCTTGTTTGTTTGTAATGAGAATTTTGCTGATCGACATGGAATCACAAAGCGGTACCAAGAAATCCTTGACGACAAGAATTCTCAAATTAGACCCTTTTCTTAGCTAACGGGTAATCTTTTTGCTGGTCACATACATAAACATTGAAGCCTGAGGGGCCATGATTTTGTAATGGTAGTTAGCTAACAGATACAAAGATATCACTTAAAAATTAACGATACAGCTCTTCTCGAAAAACTGATTTTAATTTATATAGTTGGATAATATTCCGTTTTGATATAAATTGTTCCGGTGATTATATAAATGTGCGCACTCAGATTGGTCAAGGATTGCGTCATATCTCGCTATCACCTCGCGCGAGGTCATTATAGCAGGGGTGCTTAATCTTAAATCGGAGAAAATTCAATTTAATTATCTTTTTCTTCCAGTGTCATGTAGCTTTGACAATGGGTTGTGCCTTTGGTGGAGCCAATCCAAGTCAGATGTCTTTGACTGGAGGCTTGGTTCTGGTTCCACGCCATCATCGGGCACAGGGCCTTCATCAGATCGGAGTGGAACAGGTTTGCAAGCTTTAGTTGAGAAATTTAATTATCAACTAGTCAGTCGCAATGAGCAATCCCAAAAAAAGACAAACATCTGTAGCTTCAGCGCGTAAAAATTATTGCACGCCTCTTGCGTTTCCAAAGACCGGTTATTCTCTAACAAACCATGCATTTCAAAACATCTTTTCAATTAATTCATCAACCAGAAGTAACCATAGCTTATTTTTATTATTTTACAGGAATGTATATGTATACTGAGGCGTCATATCAGTCGACGGGTGATAATGCAAAGCTCAAACTTTCAGTGCCTAGTGGAAAATCATCTTCTTGCCTTACGTTCTACTATCACATGTATGGAGCAAATATGGGGACGCTAAATGTCTTGAATGGAAATGACAAAATATTTACCAAGTCAGGAAATCAGGGTTTTTATTGGAAAAAAGTGACCAAAACTTTGCACTTGAACAATGTTGTAAGTTAACACGTGTTTACTCGATAGATTATCTAAATATTACCCGTCCAGTTTTCCACCTAAAAATATTTTGCGTTTGCGTCACATGAAATCCAAACTGCTTTTGACTTCAGAGGTCATGCACCCAGATAAACTAGGATAATTTGTAATCACTAGCTTTTCAATAGAAATTAATCAGGTCTATTGAATATATATGCAATAAATATATACAAAGGTATATAAAAAGTGACAGAACATTTTTTTTGCGATGGACTCATATCAGTCTAGTGGCTTTTTTACATAAAGAAGGAAATACACGACTCGTGTGATAGTTTTAGTTTAATTTTTTTAACCTCTTTTTTTCTTTTTTCTTATCTGCCTCTTTAGTTGACATTTGAGGGGATTAGAGGGACGTCATACACAAGTGATATTGCTATTGATGATGTCAAAGTAAGCGATGGAAACTGCCCAGGTATGGCTTGCATGGAAGACGGAATTGAGCCGAATCTACCATAACTCCTCATTTACTTTCAGTATATATATGAAAAAAGTAAATAAATAACGAGAGAGTAGATAAGCATATATCTAGTGAATGAGGGAGTCACCAATGGGATCCCCAAAAAAGTGCACAGTGCTCACAAATACAAATGACGAGTACGAACCCAATCTGGCATGCTCGAAAACTGGCAAATTTTCCGAAACACAGGGATTAAGCGTCGATAAACCAGCCTATAATCTTAGGGGATATTGCTTTACGTCAACTCAAAATATGAAAACCGGGCTATTTTTGTGCCAATATGGGCTTCTAGGCTCGAGTGCGAAACTGGCTGATTATGATCACTGCCACTTTACTAGATGCCCACAATTTAAATATTTGAGTTAAGTTGTTGGACAAGGATAGCGCATTTCAATACTGTTTAGGTTGTGGCGGAGTTTTAAACAAATCTTCTGGAGTGGTGCACCTTGCTAACACTGGGAACGAAGACGAGACGCATTGCATTTGGACAATTGGTAACGCGGGGTTGAGACAATCATATGCATCGCTGTCTCTCCAAAGAGTATACCTAAGATATTGCAGGTATTAGCCTTGCTAGAACTCCTTGAATTCATTGCACTCGTACAACTATAAATAATTTAAATGAATAAAAAGAAATCAAATCCTTGATGTCACATAGCAACTGGAGCAGGAGACGAGACTATGTCCCAGTCGATGTCTAGACCCAACAGAAGTATGTATTAAAGAATATATCACACTTGTGCCATTAAAGGTATAAAAGGCTAAAAGCCTCGGGTTAAAAGTGTGAAATTAATAGTAAAATTAAGAGTCTGTAAGCAATCTATTACAAGCGGACATATTTCATTAACAATGCATAACTACAGAAAAAGAGTTTCCTTACAAAGGAATCTTTGTTGATAAGGTGAGCATTTCTAAACAATTTCTTCCCTCACGACGCCTTTTTTGCTTTGTTACCTTATTGGTAACTTTATAGCGAGTATGTCAAGGTCTTTCATGAAGATGGAACCACACTGTTTGACCAAGAGGGCTGTCAGTCTTCGCTTCCATACGGAGCTTCACTGGAAATTCCCTTTGGTTCCTCAAACCGCATAACAGTTGACATATCCCTACAGTATAGATGGAGCGCGGTTAGCATTCCATACATATTCTCAAAACAAGGATATAATTCCGGTATGATTCGATCTTTGTTTCAACATTCATCTTCTTTTTCGCTTACTCGCTTTTAATCCAGGCAAAATCTGTAAATCGATAGAAATCGAGGAACTATTTTGGGTCAACGTAATTTTTTTGATTATCTATCTAAATTTTAGGAACTGTATTTTATTCCGTTGTATTCCCCCACCCCCCCTACCTCCCCTCAAAAAAAAAAATGGATCGATAAATATTGACGTACCTTTTAGAAAAAAGCCGTGAATTTTGGTCACCAGGAAGCGATTGTTTATCTTCTGAGCTTTTTTAAAGGTTGTCATATTAGGAGATCGATTTGACCTTAATGTGATTGCTTAATTCAAACAAAAGAAACAAAACCAAATGGAAACCTAGACAAATAGTGCATCAGGTCTAATTTGACATTTAGGGTGAGGAGTTGGAAGTGGGTCTTCTACTTTAAAGAAATCCCAAAAAGGACATAACTCTAGTATGATTCGATCTTCGTTTCAATATTTATCATGATCTACCTTTTCGCGAACTAGATTTTAATCCAGGCGAAGGCTATGGATCGATAGAAATCGAGGAACTGTTTTGAATTTGGTCAACATAATTTCCTTGATTATTTATCTTAATTTTAAAAACTGAATTTTGTGCCCCGAAAAAAAAAGCTACGGATCGATAAATATTGATGTTCGAAAACCGGGAATTTAGGTTAACAGGAAGAGGCCGTTTCTGCTCTAATCTTGTTAAAGACTGTGTTTGTCATCTGTTTTTTTTTTTTCTTTATTGATAGGCAATTTAACAATTATTCCACTCTCGCTTGTTGGATATGAGATGACAGATAGCCAACGAGGCGCGTAGCGCCGAGTTGGCTATAATCATCTCATATCCAACAAGCGCGAGTGGAATAATTGTTTTATTAAAATAAATGCTCCCAAGATGTTAGACAAATCTCCTCGACTTTATTCTGTAAGAAGAAACTAGGTGTTACAATGTACAGATTTTAGATTATGGAATATTGGCTCATATACCATAATGGCTAAGCCAATAAAAAGTCTTTAATTGCATTATCCAATGATCCAGTTTTTAATATTGAGGGTTATCATATTGAGAGATCGATTTGGCCTTAATGCGATTGCTTAAAAAAGCAAACAAACAAACAAACAAAGTAAAACAAACCAAAACCAAAGAGAAACTTAGCAGAGCCAGAAAAATGCAGGAGGTCTAACTAAGAATTTAGAATGATTAGGTGGGAGTGGGACATCTATTTTGAAGAAAACGAAAAAACCGAGTTCAGTTCAAGGGTGTTGTAAGCAAGATTCTGTGTCCCCTTACCCTTTTCGTATTTACATTTATCAATCGATTGGTGTAACTATCATTTTATTCAACCATCTGTTAATACTTGGTGTGAATGTGTGCTCTGATTTAACAGCCAAACCAATATCCTCCTGGAATGCAACAGTGGACACTATAACATCATCGTCAGCCACTGTACGGTGGTCAAACTTTCCATTAGCTTCTTCGATCAATCATTATTTGGTGAGGTTCAAGGAGGTTTCTGATGTCAGCACATTGTTCCAAGTCAGCAGCTACAATAACTATTATTACACCAACCGTCTCAAGGGATACACATCTTATAATGTCACAGTTTTAGCTGTGACTGCCAGTGACGGAAATATTACATATTCCAGCAAAACTGTGTCAATGAAGACGGCAGAGGGTGGTAAGTTCCCTCGTGATATTCTTTTAAGTTGAAATCCATACGGAAATTAACAAAGAGAAATCTTCGATTTCCTCTCCGTTTAATAAGTGCGATACGTAATACACGTATCTAACAGGATTTCCACAAGCCTGCTTCGCCTGAGGGATGGAAAGAAGCTGAGCTCTCGCCTCTTTTAGGTCTCCCTTAAAGGAAATAATAATGATAAAATAATAAAAAACTACCCCAAATAGCGATGAAAGATGTCGTTCTAAAGTAGAGCATAATGGCACACATCTCATCATTTCTAAGGAAATATAAACTCTTCAACTACTTGAAAAAATATCTATTTCAAAACAGATATATATTTTCTCAGGTATATAAATAGTCAAACTGCAGGAAGAAAATAAAAACAAAAACGAATGAGTTGAAGATGCACTTAACATGTTTTAACGTCCTCTTATGTTTGGTATGTAACAGGTGCATATCAGCATGGAGGTCATTTATTAGTTTTTCGTTCAAAAGATACTAACCACTTACGCTGATAAATGATAACAGTCATGCCGATCTGCATTTTGCAGTTCCCAGCCGAGCTCCGTCAAACACACATGCGGCAAACCATGGATTGAATGAATTCTTGGTCGAGTGGGATCCACTCCCTCACCAATACGCCAATGGTCGACTTCTGGGATACAAAGTCTACTACAAAGACGCTGACTATTACTACTCGTCGGAGACATCTGTTAATACGAGTAACGCTGACGAGTCATAGGTTGTACTAGGTGGAGTACAGCCAGGCCGTCGTTACAAGATTTCAGTAGTAGCATTTACTTCTAAAGGGGAGGGGCCTCGATCTCCATATCTCTACGAAACCAAGGGTAAGGACCAATTAAATCCTGAGATGTTAGTAGCAGATCCTCGTTCACAACAGTTACGAATAGGCACTGATAGGAGACACCAATATTTAGCACAAGGCTATATTAGTTCCTATCTATGGATAAATCAACTTCTCGTTTCTCTAACTTTAAAAATATTACATGTACAAATTGCAAACCATTGAGGGCTTTGTTCGCGTCGGAGTAGTATAGCGGGTCATTATGGCGATTCCGTTAAGGCCTGGGTCCGAGTGTATCGGCCGAGGTTAATTAATTCATACCGTGTAGGTGTACATGGGTTATTTAGGGGTAGGGTCTCATTAATATTCATACCGTGTAGGTTAAGGTGGGGTGTAGCAGGTGTAGAAGAGGGAAAATTAGTTAATTACTACACGTCGGTATATCATCGACTCTAGAATAACTAACATGAATAAACATTGGGTCTCTTTTAGCTCTGACAAATCATTATTCACCCTCGATTTTCTTTTTAATTTCTTCCTATTGCTATCTGAATATCTTAAAGATTTCTGGCGCGGAATGACTTCTTATAATTTAAAGAAAAGGCGAGTTCTAAGTGTATTTGCGAAGGGGAAATGACCTTTTCATCTTTTATTTTTCTGAATTTCAGGTTGTGAAGGCTTTAGAAACCAAGTGTCCGGTTGGTTGAATTTCAGTAACTCGCGCTACAATACTCTCAATTGTAGTGTTCAAGTACAAAACGCTGGAGTCCAACGCGGATCGGCCCTTATTTCCTTTCAGAGCATATACTTTAGATATTGCAGGTAGCCTCGTCAACATTAATTATGATTTTATTTCTGTCCATTTGAAATAAATGACAGACAGCTTGCGCTGGCTAACGTAAAAACCCAGAAATTGGGCAAATTGCTAAACCGATCGGTTTTCCTTCACTGAGCATCAACGCACATCACAAGCTTTTCCTCTCAAGATATAGCCAAAGAAAATCGAATTAACAATAATTTGAAAAATACAATAGAGTTGCTAGATAGTCACACGACTTTTTTCCCCTTTTTTTCGGCATCAGCTCTGCTGTACGTTAGTGTCCTATCAATATACACTAAAAGACTTACTGAGTGTCCGTAATCCGTTCACCTTTAGCGAGTACATCAAGATTATTGATAGCAATGGTGTTCAGATTTTCCATCGTGGAGGATGCGACTCCCTAACTAATGGAATGTCCGTGGAAGTCCCATTTGGTGATGGGCATAGTATCACGCTCGCTTTTCTTTTTTCGTACCGGTATAGTTATCTCAGAGTCCAATACTCGATACTAAATCAGCCCCTAAGCTCAGGTAACAAACATTTTTAGTTTCTTTTATATTTCAAATTTTAAAAAGAAAAGTGATCGAAAAGCTAGTATAGGAATTTAAAAAAATCCTTAGAGTGTAAAAATGAAAGGGCTTAAAGGGGTCAGTTTGTGGAAGATAGAAATTAGTTTCCGAGGAAGGATTCAAATTACTTTTATTATTTTCTGATTGCTTTAGCTTGTAAGACTTATTCTTCTGTTGCATCTATTCCCTGCAGCTCAATTGCTCCCCTCTTGGAACATCAGCATCTCTAATACTACAACCAAGTCAATGACAGTGCAATGGTCCAACTTCCCTCTGACAAATCACTCCATTCAACAACTTTTAGTGAACTGCAGAGAACAGAATTCGAACGTCAGCTTAATTTTTCAAACTCCAAGTTCCTATAATACACATTACACAGGCAGGGTTCTTAGAAGTTACCAATATTATGACGTGCAAGTAATTGCTGTGGCGTCAAATTTTAGCAATGGTACATTCATTAGTAGGAAAGAGATCGGAAGGACTGACGAGGGAGGTAAACACGTTCAACTATTTCACGATTGCTTGTCTTTTTAGTGGAAATATTTTCTTAGTTCTAGAGTAGACATTTCTCGAAATCCATACTAGGCTCAATTGTGCTCTTATATCTACGATTAACTAGCTGAAAACTGAAAACAGTAACCGGTCTCTCTGAACTTAGACTGGGAAGATCTCCTTTCATTTGATGAAGTAGTTCAGTTGAAGTCATAACTCACCCTACTGACTACAAATTATCGTGTGGTTTCCCCTATGTAATGTTTCCATTCCCTCTGCCTTCCAGTTCCAAGCACTTCACCATCGAATATACGATTGACAAACCTGCAGTCCCATGAGGTGAAAGTACAATGGGATCCCATACCTCCAGAGACGGCCAATCGAATATTATTGGGATATAGAGTATTCTTCCAAAAGTACTATTATTCAGGTTTGCTTCAAAGTGTGGATACTAAGAGCCCCAGTGTTCACATGCTGGTACTAAGGGGTCTGAAGTCAGCACAGAGATACCAAATATCGGTGGCAGCATTTACGTCGAAAGGAGCAGGACCGCGGTCATACTTGCGATACTTTACAACAGGTCAGTCACACAACTTTGTTACGAATAAATCTGTTTAGTTAATTTGGCCTTTTCAACATTTACACTTCAATTGAAAACACTTTAATTTGATTCTGACTGGTCCGTTGTTTACTCACCAGTAATGGTATTGTTACGAACACGCAACGAAACCATCAAAACCATCAGCATCGCCATATACCGTTGCATATAATGTGTGCGTTTTAGTTTCCGGAGGTCTTGATTAGCTTTCGATGTTTTCTGGTGTTTATCGATTTTACCCTTCAGAGTAAAATAAGGACAATTTTCACGAAATGATGTAGTTGTAATTGCTCATGCATATAGGAGCGTGGGTTGCACGAGGTTATATATTCGCTAATTTCGATTAAGTCGCACGACGGGCTACACGATGAAATAGTACCTGTGTATAGTATGCGGAACTAATAGTCACAGGTTTCCTCGAGGACTTTAACTCAATGTAAGTGCAAAAAAAGCAAAGAAATGGATTAAGAAAGGCTTGTTGGGTCTTATCCTTCTTGCTTAGAATTTTTTTTTTTTTTCATCCTTGTTCAACGTTCAAAGAATACTTGCTGGAAAAATGAATTAAAAACCGCAGGTCAACTGTACTACTTATCTACAAACTGTACCCATACATAAGCACACATGCATTTACAGACAACTCAGGTTCTTCTTTTTGAAACATGAATCAGGCTTGGACCACAACATGCTACTTCGTTATAACCAGTCTAATAGAGATCCAAGGAATGCTGAACCAGTTTATAGTTAAGGGAACAATGTAATTGCCATTTGAAATGCTGATTTTTTTTTCTCAATTGCTTGTATCAAAAGGAAGTTAAAATACTTCCTTGAGCTCATTTTTGGTAAGTTCTATTGATGTTGGTGACTCTCTACATACAGTGAGTAAGTCAATTGCAAATGATTTCAACAGAAAAAAGCGTGTAATTTGGTTGCACCCCAGTACAACATATTATCGGCATTACTAGTGAGTAATTGTTTCAACATCACTCATTATTGTATCTTCTGCTGATAAATTGTTAGGTTGTGGTGGACAACTAAATGAGTCATTTGGACAAGTTCACATCGGCTCAAACAGGAACCAGTACTATTTAAGCTGCACCTGGAATATCGTCAAAGTGGGTATCCAGCAAGCGGTCGCTTTCATCTGGATAAAAGACTTTTATTTTTCTTATTCATCGTAAGTAAAAGAAGATGCACTAGACAAGTGTTCATTTTAAAACTAGGCATCTGGTAGCTAGTAGTATAATACCTACACATACACACACACCAAAAAAAAAAAAAACTCGATTCCATCTACACTAAACCAATTTAGGGAAATACTCACGTTAAACGCAATTCTACGGTTGGAGGCTTCGCTTGACACTGGCTTATGAAACTGCTATGAGTTTCATTTTGGACAATCGGTAACATATCGGATTGGTTAAGTTGGACGACGTTCTTATTTTTCTTTCCATGAAGCACAAAGGCATGGGCGTACCTTAGTACAACAACTACTCAGGCGTAATTTACGAGGCTTCTCTTTCTATAGTAACGTCTCTTTTCATTTTATACGAAACTGAACTCGATATCGATATCAAGCAACTAGATGCCGAAGAGTATCAGAACAGCAGATCTGGCTTCTAATAGTCTAATTAAGTATTTCCCTAAGGTAGTTTCAACTAGCATTTGGAATCATCAAAAATCACACTTGAGTTAAATTATTGACAATTACTTCATTCAGAGAGAGAGAAAAACGAGTGAGCTTCTACGCACAACATTTAGTCTCCACGATTATTTGCCTCTTTTTCTTAGCCAGAAACAGGAATAGGGACCGGGAAATTATCAGGGTATCTTTAAAAAAGGTTATCAGGGTATCTATAAAAGACAGTGAGTATTTTTCAAGTCGCTTTATATCAGAGAAACCAGAGATTATAACCTGCAGCTATAGGACGCTTGGCTTGTGAGGATTAACCTTTCTTTAATATTAGAAATTTTTCATGTTCGCAGTGGCTATTTAAAGATCCTGGACGGAAATGGCTCCGTTGTTTTGCATCAACATAAATACTCTGCTATCCAAGAGAACATTTTCTTAGAAGTTGAATTTCGAAATGCTGACAGTATTGCCATACAAACCTTCCTAAGGAGTGCGTACAGTCATTTTCAGCTTTATTACGGGACTTTGAAACAAGGCCTTCAGTCAGGTTTGTACTTGCAATTTAAGCCTTATTTTTTGCTATATTAGGTGTTACTACATTACATCTCAGTATTACTCGAAACGGGGAGGGACATTTCTTCTCAAAAAAAATGAGTCACTTTATGTACATGTGACATACCGCAGGATTTGCTTTACCTGATTGAGTACATTTACTAGGGTCCTCCGAATTCAAACTTTAAGGTAAGCGAAAACATTGTAATCTAAATTAATGACCTTCCACTCATAGGGAACGTTTTCATTACAACCAGAATGGTTTAGCAAAATAGTATATCATTGGAGGTGATACCGTACTTAAGTGAGGCGTTAGTGGTCCAATGGTCAGTGCGCTGGACTCTGGGTCAGAGGGCCCGGG